AAACTCTAGGCAACTTGCAAGTGTTTTCATCTCGATAATGCAATGATAAGAGTAAATGTGATGAATGGATGTTATGTATCTTGCCCATGTAAAAAATTGATTATATTTTCACCCCGGAATATACAAATGACAAGCCGACGTCCATATGTTAATCATCACGCTCATGGTGTGCGTATCTAACTCTCCATCGAAGTGCGAGTTCACTCGCACTTGTTGTGTGAACCTCGAGCAATCCACTTAAGTGGTGTGCGCACCTAGCTCTCCATCTTAGTGCGAGTTCACACGCACTTGTGGTGTGAACCCCAAGCAATGAACTTAAGTGAGAGTTCACTCGCACTTTGCTTCAACCTGACCTTCAGAAAGACAACAAGCAACCTGCAAATGTTTCCCTCTCTCTATCCTTCTGACTTTCATAATAGTGATCTTACAAGTGTTTCGATCTCTCATCTTCATGTCATGCGATGCATGGATGTTTTCGATGAAAAGATGCTCATGTCAAGGAGGGGATCGATGTTTGCAGTGACAAGAATGAATGTTATGAATCTATGTTATGGATTTTTCATGCAAAGATTTGATGACATTTTCATCCGGGAATGTACAAATGACAAGTCAGCGTCCACATTAAATCACCAAGCTGATGGTGTGAGCACCTAGCTCTCCATCTCAATGCGAGTATATTCGCACTTGTGGTGTGAATCCCGAGTAATTACCTCACACTTTGCTTCAATTTGGCCTTTACAGAAACAACAAGGAACTTGCAAATGTTCCCATCTCTCCATCTCTCTAACTTTCATAATAGTGACCTTGCAAGTGTTTCGATTTCTCATCTTCATGCCATGGGATGCATGGATGTCTTCGATGAAAAGATGCTCATGTCAAGGAGGGGATCGATGTTTGTGATGGCAAGATTGAATGTTACGAATCTATGTTATGGATTTGTCCATGTAAAGATTTGATGACATTTTCATCAGAGAATATACAAATGGCAAGCCAGCGTCCATATTAAATCACCACGTTGATGGTGTGCGCACCTAGTTCTCCATCTTAGTGAGAGTTTACTCACACTTGTGGTGTGTACCCCGAGCAAATCCGCTTAAGTGATAGTTCACTCGCACTTTGATTATATCCCATTCACCATAAACGACCACAAACCTGGCCTCAGTTGCAATTAAACATCAAAGACTACCCAACAACTGATAACCTGCGGGACCTGGAGTTCAATTCTGTTTGTGGAGTGCGAAACTCTGCTCGAAACAGATCCAGGTCCAACAGGAAGGCCCACCACAGCCCACAAACATAGCCCAAGTTGCGATTAAGCATCAAAGACTACCCAGCAACTGATAACCTGCGGGACATGGACAATTCTGTTTATGGAGTGCAAAACTCAGGTCGAAACAGATCCAGGTCCAACAGGAAGGGTCACCACAATTTCACAAAATTGTGCCCAAGTTGTGATTAAGCATCAAAGACTGCCCAACAACTGATAACCTGCGAGACCTGGATTTTAATTCTGTTTGTGGAGCGCGAAACTCTTCTCGAAACAGATCCAGGTCCAACAGGAAGGCCCACCACAGACCCACAAACCTAGCCCCTGTTGCGATTAAGCATCAAAGACTGCCCAACAACGGATGACCTGCGGGACCTGGAGTTCAATTCTGTTTGTGGAGTGCGAAACTCTGCTCGAAACAGATCCAGGTCCAATAGGAAGGTCCACCACAGACCCACAAACCTAGCCCCAATTGCGATTAAGCATCAAAGACTGCCCAACAACTGATAACCTGCGGGACCTGGAGTTCAATTCTGTTTGTGGAGAGTGAAACTCTGCTCGAAACAGATCCAGGTCCAACAGGAAGGCCAACCACAGACCCACAAACCTATGTCCCAGTTGCAATTAAGCATCAAAGACTGCCCAACAACTAATAACATGCGGGACCTGGAGTTCAATTCTGTTTGTGAAGTGCAAAAATCTGCTCGAAACAGATCCAGGTCCAACAGGAAGGCTCACCACAGAACCACAGACCTGGCCCCAGTTGCGATTAAGCATCAAAGAATGCCCGACAACTGATAACCTGCGGGACCGGGAGTTCAATTTTGTTTGTGGAGTGCGAAACTCTGCTCGAAACAGATCCAGGTCAAACAGGAAGGCCCACCACAGACCCACCAACCTAGCCCCGGTTGCAATTGAGCGCCAAAGACTACCCAACAACTGCTGACTTGCGGGAAGTAAATCCACACCCATCATCAAGGTTCACTAAGTGTGTTGTTGGCGATCCGCATAGACAACCAACGATTGTTTGCCACTTCTTGAAGGTGCTCTGTCACCAAACAGATCACGACATGACATCAACCTCGCATCAAGTTTCCCTAAGAGTGCTAATGGCAATTTGCACAGAGAGCCAATGACGGTTTGACACTTCCTTAAGCCACTCTGTCGAACACCGATAACTGCGAATTGATTCGCTGTTCAACTAGTATCTGAAAATGCCTTTCCGGGTTAAAGCACGGAGCTCGTCCCCTCTCTCAATCACGGTCTCTCTCTCTCTCTCTCTCTCTCTCTCTCTCTCTCTCTCTCTCTCCAAACTAACCCCAGTGGCGGACTTCAACATCA